CAAAGTCGTGGCAGAACACTAGATTTATACAAGAATAAAATGGATATACAGAATGATCAAAACCCAACTTACAATTCGTGGGAATAAATAGTATGATACACTATCACAGCTTTTAACACTTCAGAAAAATCACCACTGTATACATAACACTGCTATAAGCATAAAGAATTACTTAATCACAAGTAATATATTAATATGCTACTTATACAACTTAATACTGCACGGCAACACACAGGGCTTATCTCTCTTCAACGACGTCTGACCAAAGACTGCCTCGAGACACCTGTGGGCGATCTATTTATAGACTTAGGTAACATGGAAGGTCACCTTCAAATCATAAGACCATTGGTTGGGGTGGTCATCTGGTCTGAAACAATCAATCATCTCTCGATGGAAAATTTCTGAGTCTAAGACTCTCTTAGTAAGACAGCGGAAAAAAACCGGTCATTGCACCACAGACCATATATGGTATTATAACAAATGTCAAACTAAAAATAAAACATTACTAGACCTAAGTAGGTCACATCCCCTCCCTTTTTGGAAGTGGCAGATAGGTTCCACAAAAACATACATAAGGAACCAATCTGGCATAAAATAAAAAAATGTTCTAAAAATGTAGCCAACCAAAATCTTAATACCAGGTGAAAACATCCCTGGTGGTTTCTTATGCACCAACGTATATGTGTCAGCCGACTCAGCAGCCTTCTGGATGTCGACTATCTTGTTATCCAGGATGTGTAGTCGTATGTCTTCAGGCAGGGACTTTAGGAATTCCTTCCTCAGGACAAGTGATTTTAGTTTCTCAAACTCTGAAACTTCCTCAGAGTTTAGCCACCTTGAAAAAACTTTCTCTTTTTCAAAGAGAAATTCCACATATGATTGAGTGGGTAGTTTGCGGAGTGCTCGGAATTTTATCCGATAGGCCTCTGGAGTCAATTCGTAGGCCTTCAAAATGGCAGTCTTGACCAGCCCATAGTTAGTTTGAACGTCGTGAGAGAGTGCCTGATATGTGCTTGCAGCTTTGCCTGTGAGAACTGTGCTCAATAAAGCAGTAATGGAAGTTTCGGGCCATTCACATGCCTTCGCTAAACTCTCAAATGAGTTAAAGAAGACAACCAAATCTATTTCATTGAACTTAGGAACTAGTTTCCCAAATTTGGCAATCACCTGCCCCACCGACAACTTTTTAGGATCTTCTAGAGAAGTGACATCACCACTAACTTTACCAAATTCTAATTCCAACCTCCTCTTATCTAAAGCAACTTTGGCCTCCAACTCCTTTTCTTTTAATAAAAACTCCCTCTCTTCTAGAGGTTTCTCCTCACGGAGTATCACCTCAGCCAACAAACTCTCTTCGAACACACCTTCATTAATAAAATGAACTATAATTTTGTCTCTCAACACTTCTGATTTCTGAGTGACAGAATAATCCAACTTCAATTCCTTTACAACACTAATCAAATCTTTCCTACTTAACTTCTCTACTTCCTCAACTGTGGGTTTTAACAAGAAAGACTCCATTTCAACTAGTTTCAAAATCAAAACAGAACTAAATTAACACAGCCCGACGCTCTACTATGAACTTGACCTTAAATCTAGGACGCAACACGTCTGGCTTCCTGACCTAGATAACTCTAGCCTTGAGCGCGGCGCTCTTACACAGCCACACTGGGTTAAGAAACAACTAACTAGAACTGAAACTAGTGTTTAAATATTTAAACCAACAACTCTTACAACAGATTACATGCCGGCGAGTCCCCACTTTGTAACGGACACCAATCTATCAGCCAGATAGATGGCGAACGCTCCCGGATTCGTTTAACTGTTTACACACAGATGGCGACAAGCCTAAATAAAAGAAAGTTGACACACTAGCTCGCTAGGACTCGATATAGATGTCTAGGGGAAACACTAGAGAAACTAATGATGCCAACAAAACATTTAATCTGCATATAACTTGTAATGAGTGTACAAAGTCGTGGCAGAACACTAGATTTATACAAGAATAAAATGGATATACAGAATGATCAAAACCCAACTTACAATTCGTGGGAATAAATAGTATGATACACTATCACAGCTTTTAACACTTCAGAAAAATCACCACTGTATACATAACACTGCTATAAGCATAAAGAATTACTTAATCACAAGTAATATATTAATATGCTACTTATACAACTTAATACTGCACGACAACACACAGGGCTTATCTCTCTTCAACGACGTCTGACCAAAGACTGCCTCGAGACACCTGTGGGCGATCTATTTATAGACTTAGGTAACATGGAAGGTCACCTTCAAATCATAAGACCATTGGTTGGGGTGGTCATCTGGTCTGAAACAATCAATCATCTCTCGATGGAAAATTTCTGAGTCTAAGACTCTCTTAGTAAGACAGCGGAAAAAAACCGGTCATTGCACCACAGACCATATATGGTATTATAACAAATGTCAAACTAAAAATAAAACATTACTAGACCTAAGTAGGTCACATCCCCTCCCTTTTTGGAAGTGGCAGATAGGTTCCACAAAAACATACATAAGGAACCAATCTGGCATAAAATAAAAAAATGTTCTAAAAATGTAGCCAACCAAAATCTTAATACCAGGTGAAAACATCCCTGGTGGTTTCTTATGCACCAACGTATATGTGTCAGCCGACTCAGCAGCCTTCTGGATGTCGACTATCTTGTTATCCAGGATGTGTAGTCGTATGTCTTCAGGCAGGGACTTTAGGAATTCCTTCCTCAGGACAAGTGATTTTAGTTTCTCAAACTCTGAAACTTCCTCAGAGTTTAGCCACCTTGAAAAAACTTTCTCTTTTTCAAAGAGAAATTCCACATATGATTGAGTGGGTAGCTTGCGGAGTGCTCGGAATTTTATCCGATAGGCCTCTGGAGTCAATTCGTAGGCCTTCAAAATGGCAGTCTTGACCAGCCCATAGTTAGTTTGAACGTCGTGAGAGAGTGCCTGATATGTGCTTGCAGCTTTGCCTGTGAGAACTGTGCTCAATAAAGCAGTAATGGAAGTTTCGGGCCATTCACATGCCTTCGCTAAACTCTCAAATGAGTTAAAGAAGACAACCAAATCTATTTCATTGAACTTAGGAACTAGTTTCCCAAATTTGGCAATCACCTGCCCCACCGACAACTTTTTAGGATCTTCTAGAGAAGTGACATCACCACTATCTTTACCAAATTCTAATTCCAACCTCCTCTTATCTAAAGCAACTTTGGCCTCCAACTCCTTTTCTTTTAATAAAAACTCCCTCTCTTCTAGAGGTTTCTCCTCACGGAGTATCACCTCAGCCAACAAACTCTCTTCGAACACACCTTCATTAATAAAATGAACTATAATTTTGTCTCTCAACATTCTGATTTCTGAGTGACAGAATAATCCAACTTCAATTCCTTTACAACACTAATCAAATCTTTCCTACTTAACTTCTCTACTTCCTCAACTGTGGGTTTTAACAAGAAAGACTCCATTTCAACTAGTTTCAAAATCAAAACAGAACTAAATTAACACAGCCCGACGCTCTGCTATGAACTTGACCTTAAATCTAGGACGCAACACGTCTGGCTTCCTGACCTAGATAACTCTAGCCTTGAGCGCGGCGCTCTTACACAGCCACACTGGGTTAAGAAACAACTAACTAGAACTGAAACTAGTGTTTAAATATTTAAACCAACAACTCTTACAACAGATTACATGCCGGCGAGTCCCCACTTTGTAACGGACACCAATCTATCAGCCAGATAGATGGCGAACGCTCCCGGATTCGTTTAACTGTTTACACACAGATGGCGACAAGCCTAAATAAAAGAAAGTTGACACACTAGCTCGCTAGGACTCGATATAGATGTCTAGGGGAAACACTAGAGAAACTAATGATGCCAACAAAACATTTAATCTGCATATAACTTGTAATGAGTGTACAAAGTCGTGGCAGAACACTAGATTTATACAAGAATAAAATGGATATACAGAATGATCAAAACCCAACTTACAATTCGTGGGAATAAATAGTATGATACACTATCACAGCTTTTAACACTTCAGAAAAATCACCACTGTATACATAACACTGCTATAAGCATAAAGAATTACTTAATCACAAGTAATATATTAATATGCTACTTATACAACTTAATACTGCACGGCAACACACAGGGCTTATCTCTCTTCAACGACGTCTGACCAAAGACTGCCTCGAGACACCTGTGGGCGATCTATTTATAGACTTAGGTAACATGGAAGGTCACCTTCAAATCATAAGACCATTGGTTGGGGTGGTCATCTGGTCTGAAACAATCAATCATCTCTCGATGGAAAATTTCTGAGTCTAAGACTCTCTTAGTAAGACAGCGGAAAAAAACCGGTCATTGCACCACAGACCATATATTGTATTATAACAAATGTCAAACTAAAAATAAAACATTACTAGACCTAAGTAGGTCACATCAGTCATTAGAATCTTCTTAATATTGTCATTTCATGTCGATTTCATAAAATGCTATTAACGTACGCTCGATAGTTGCATATTATTAATAATATAATAAACTAAAAATGCAAATAATATATAAAATTACTTATATTTTATTAATTATTAAAATCATTTTACCTGAATAGGTAGGCCCAATTAATTTAAAAATTAAGTAGGACTTTATTTTTCGTCTACAATGTAATTCTATATTGGCAAACTAAGAACGGCTGATGTAACTTTATGTAGGCTCACGTGACATAATTGACAAAACGTAATGGACCTGTACACAAATTAATACCAACGAGCTGTTCCGCGCCGTATGCATACGCCGCTATTTAATTGTTTTATTTTTCTAATTTTCAGTAATTCATAATTTGTGAATTCAACACCGCAGTTCTCACCCCCACCCCTTCAGAACAAATTAGGAATAAAATAAAACTTAACTAGTGTCCGGAAGTTTCAAGCTCCTCCCCTTTCCCCTTCCCATACACAGACCACGTTCTTTACTTACTTCCAGCCAGTCACCTTTAGGAACAACGAAGCCATTGGGGCACGGACAAGATTGTTTTAGAAAAGTCCACAAAAGGTCAGAAAAATCTGGTCCAGCGTTGACTAAAGTTTCTATATCTGGTAACAACAAGGATATATTCTTATCTGGATCTCGATCCTGTAAAAATCGTAAAGAATAAACTGTTTGAAAGAAATTATCTATATGTAAGAAAAGTTACTTTTTTTGGTCAAGCATGAATTAAGCTGGGATTACGTGAACTATTATAAAAGCTGTTTTGTTTCGAATTTACAATTACAGTAGCGTTTTGTAAATTCTATTCAAAACTTTATTTTAGGTCAGCAGATTGAAATATAATTCTCAATCTGAAATTATGTTAAAATAAAATAATATAAGTGGTTTCATGATGAATTTTCAATAACATTTTAGTAGATCCTTACACCGCCCAGTGTTTCATGTTTACCAATTCGTCTTAAAAACACACATTTCAAGTTTAGTTGGCAAAACTTATTTACGTAGCTTGTGTGAAATAATAAAATACTCTCACTTTAACTCTAAAGATTCTATCGACGCTGTCTGGAAAGTCCACTGAAGCAGCCAATGCGTACACCGAGTCTGTAGGTATAGCAATCAATTTTCCTTCCTTTAACATAGCCGCAGCCTCGTTCACGTCTCTTGTCAGATGTCCATTCAAAATCCTTGCTTCCGCCTAGTTTTTTAATCAAATAAAAAAAATTATATTTGTATTTCACTAATAAAAAAATAACCAGCAACGAAGAGAGAAATTGTCACAGCTAATTTGCTAATTTTCCCTTTAATTTTTTTTAAATTTGTATATATATATATATATATATATATATATATATATATATATATATATATATATATATATATATATATATATATATATATATATATATATATATATATATATATATATATATATACATATATATATATATATATATATATATATACATATATATATATATATATATATATATATATATATATATATATATATATATATATATATATATATATATATATATATATATATATATATATATATATATATATATATATATATATATATATATATATATATATATATATATATATATATATATATATATATATATATATATATATATATATATATATATATATATATATATATATATATATATATATATATATATATATATATATAGTTTTTTAAAAAGTAGGCTTACTTTTAAAATAATACCAAAACTCATATTATGTTGTGAAGTTATTGGTTTTTTTAAAGAAGAGGTTTGCTATTAATTTGCAAACTTGTTTCCTTACAAATATTAACATTAGAGTACTTACCATTTCCAAACTGTTCGGTGGACTGAAGTAACGTTAACGCATATGTCTTAATAAGTGACAAATACAAATAAAATCTATAATCCGCATGTATAAGAAAAACGTTATTTAGAATGATTCTTTCATTTTAAGATCCGGTTTATATTGAGCAGACATTCGGTAGTGTACGACTGTATAATAAATTGTAATGTTCAAAACATTTTGCTATTTTTTCAAAACAATACGTCTTATCCGTAAATCAATCCATTGATCGATCGTACTACTGGCAAACTGAATGCTGTTTAGATCTGCTAAAGACGTCCCAAGGTGAAAGTAGCTGTAGAGGAAAAACCAGTTACATTTTGTATGACAGTAACGTGACGTACATTATGAAAGGCTTGCCGTGACGTACATTATGAAAGGCTTGCTTTCAACAACTCTACCTCGACTTCAAGTACATTTATGTAAGGTAGCATTCAATTGACGTTTTCTATTACCGATATTTTTAAACATTTGTCAACCAAAAAAAGATATAGCTTACGTGCTTAAAATCACGCTGTAAACTTGACGCTTCCCGCTTTTCTCGGGTTCATGTCTATACTCATTAGGGAGGTTTTAAAATAACATGAAATAAGTTGACTTGAAAAGGGGAGAATATTTTTTAGAATGTAATATTTTATGGAAATATACTTACGACCGTCAATTAAAGATTAGAATTAGCTAGAAGAATATATATTTGTTTGTTTATTTATCTCATTTTCGGGACAATTAGGACTTAAAATTTAAAAAAAAATAGCTTTTAGCCATACTTTATATTTTTAAATAAAATTGCTAAAAGTACGTCTTTTAAAAATCCCCATGAGCCAAAAATACCTAGTCAAAAATGAGCCAAAAATACCTAGTCAAAAATGTGTTTTACATTTCCATTTTTATGATCACTAAGTCTGGTAATATGCACTTTCTGTGATAATATTTTATAACGAGATAAATGACCCGCTGAGGAAGGATACAACGGGCGCATGGTAGATAGTATTGTATTTTTTCTCTAAACCAAAACAAAAACAAAAATCACCACCTTAAGTTCAAATTGAAACGGAAACGAAAAATGACATTAAAAACGGATTTTTATCCAGAATCGGCATTTTAAATTAATCGGATTTCAGCTTGATCTACACGTAAGTACTGCACATTGATACTAAATATAATCGTGGCCATATCCCTAAACCTTGCGAATACAATTCTCCGGGGCAAACACTGGCCGACACAGGTAAAAGTATATATTTTCTATATAAATTATATTTCGTTTGGGGGCGGGGGAAGTTTAGAAGCTCTACCCTACATATAGTAGGACATTTTCTAAAGCCGGAAAAATGCACACAATAATATGACGTCATTGATTCTGGAGTAAACATTGAATTAAAAAGCCAATTTTGTCTAATCTTAAAAGTGGTTTGAGTTTCTTTCGTGCATCTCTTCGGGTAGGAGAGAAGCTTTCCCCCCTCCGGAAGAACTTCTAAGCCCCCCCCCCCCTCCTCAAAAGAAATGACGACACTCGATAATAAAAAATATTACATTACCGCTTAATCAATTTGTCTAATCTTAACAGTGGTTTGCTTGCTGTTTCTTTCATGTATCTCTTCGGGTAGGGGCGAAACCCTGTTCCCGGAAAATGACTAAGCCGCCCCCCCCACCTCAAGAAATGACGTCATCGATGCTCTATAATAAAAAAAAACCACTGACATTACCGCCTAATTCATGTATCTAATCTCAAAAGTGTTTTGTGTGCTGAGTTTCTTTCATGTATCTCTTCGGGTAGGGACGAAGCCCCTCTACCCACGTTAGAACGTCTATTCCCCCTCCTCCAAAAAAAACGAAATATTATATATATAGAAAAATATATACTTTACCAGTGTCTGCCTCTCCGGCCCCAGAGAATTTTATTCTCCCCTGCAAAAATTCAAATGCCCCACCCTCGGAAAAAAGTCTTAAAGAAACACTGCGTGAGGTGGGTACTAGAAATTTTCGGGAGTGGGGTGCACTAAATTTTCTGGAAAGAGGGCAGACACTGGTAAAAGTATATTTTCTATATACATTTTATATTTCGTTGAATGGGACGGTAGACGTGCTTCGTGGTGGGGGGCGGACCCCTCCCCCCAACTCTCACGTAGAGTCGCCTGAAAGGAACTCTAAATGCGACTTTTGTCATGTTTGAGCTTATGTGAGGGGTCGGCGTGGTCGAGTCGGTAAAGCTCATGGTTGCTAAACCGAAAAGTCTCGAGTTCGAACCCTCGGGCAGATGAGGCTCGTTAGCTGGGGACAGCCACTCTTCTAGGAGAGACAACTCCAAAATTAAACAACTGCTGCCTTGTAGTTTGTTCTTGGTTGGACAAAGGCTATGGAAGCAAATCCAAAAATAAAAGCAGGCTGAAATCGGAGTCAATGGCCTCAATGGCGCATAACCAGTTGACACGTAACGCTTAATTGTGTTGGAGGCATGGTCGAGTCGGCAAAAAGCTCATGGTTGTTAAATTCGAACAAAGTCTCGAGTTCAAACCCAATGGCAGATAAATCTCGATCCCCTTCAGCACTAATAATTAAGAACGAAGAAGAAGAAGAAGAAGAAAAGCTTATGTGCAAGGTTTTGGGTTATGGCAACGACTATATTTAGTACCAATATGCAGAAAGAACGGTTGAAGAAGAGGCGAAAACAGCTGGGCTCACATGGGCACAGATAAAGGGAGCAGCCCAAAACCGAGTCAGCTGGGAATGTGTGGTTGCAGTTCTTTGCGCCCCAAGGCCACAAAGGAATGATGATGATGATGCAGTAACTACGTGTAGATCATGCTTAAATTCGATTAAAAATGCCGATTCTGGATAAACATCCGTTTTCAATTACATTTTTCGTTTCTGGTTAAATTTGAAGTTGAGATGGTGATTTTGTTTTTGGTTTCGATTTAGAGAAAAAGACACCACTATCAACCTAGCGCCCGTTGTATCTCTCCCTCAACGGGCCATTTATCTCTTAATTAATAAGTTTTCAAAGTGTTAAAATATCTGCCTAATTGCCTGTGGCGTAACAGATCAATCGGAGCCCTGTGGATATTAAAGACTAGAGGACCTTAACTATTACATTTGTTTTAGAGCATTAGGTATAAAAATGGATTAGTACACGTTTTTTTTTATATTTCAACTTCTATAATAACATTAACACAATACAGTAATATTCAACACAAAGGCAACACAAAAGAAAATATTTTAACATTGGTACGTGGAGTTTTTAACCAGAAGTGTTTTGACCATCGGTGATTTGTCTACAGTGGGGTTTCAATCTCAGTGCAGGCATCCTCACAGTGATGCAATGTAATAATTTGATGTTGACAAAAATTTGGTAAAGAAGGTTACCCAACTCTCAATCAAATGTTATCGCCACACATGCGTGATCGAGCTTAAACCGTTCTTTATTGCCTACATAACAATTGCTGGAAAAAGTGGACAGCGGGCACTAGATCTCAGAGAGGCGGTCATGCTTATTCTGATAAAAAGTACGAGACTAAATTGATACATTCGAATATGTATGTAGTGGGTGGGTGATATAAAACATACACGATTATATAGAAACATTCCAATATGTATGTAGTGGGTGGGTGATATGATTTTTTATTCATCAAGCCTCGCTAGAAAATTACATTACTATCGTATCAATGAAATGATTTAATAAAAGAAGCATTTGTTTTATATTTTTTTAAATACAATTCTAAAAATAAACAAATATAATTTATTTTATTTCTTAACAAAATATGTGATTTTAAACTATGAAAAAAAACAACTAATGCCTTGATAGTGTAGAAAAGCAGCACTTAAAATGAGAATATAGTACATTAAAGGTTAACGAAGTAGAAGTGTCTAACTAAATGGATCTACAAAAGGAACTAAATTTTCTGTGTTTGTGTGTCTGTTCGTTTCGAACGTTAATCTTTGCTTGCTATGGAATGTTGTATTCAATCGTAGAAATGGCCGAAAAGTAGAAACAGCTAAAAGGTTATTATTTTTTTAACTTACACACTGTTATTGTGTAGCTGCAAAACTGGCGTGTAATCTGTATAAAATCTTGGTAAACAATTCATGGAGTAACGTAGGTTGGACTTAGTTTGGATTAGTTCAAGTAAGTATCACTGCATTTAAATGTAATGATAGGACTTAATATATTAAAAAATTGTAATGTTTGTTTAAGATTCAGTGTCCATGTTTATCGTTAATGGTAGATTAACCCGGTTATAGCTGGGGTTACAATAATGTAGTATTTAAAGATTTTTTAGTTTGTTTAAAAGGTACATTGTCAAGATAGTGTTGTTTTAGGAAGTGGTAATCATGGTGTTGATGCCGTGTCAAAATAATAGTTGAAAGCATCGAAAATATTTGGATACAAACTTCACATTAAAGTTTTTTATATTGGAAATTTTAATCAATACTTTAAAAATTAATTAAGCATCCAAGTAATTCAAATTTTATAACAGATTGCATTGTCATCATGTCTTGACACACGTGCCAAGTCTCAGAGAAATCAGGCAGTTACAAGTGGTCAAAATATCGCTCGCCATTTTCGATCCATAAAAACAATAGCGCGACAGACAAAAGCACAACCGAGGAAGCAAGGTAAATAAAAGCTTGTAAAAATTCCCTAATGATACAATCGATGGTAATTTTTCAATACGAATCATTTTTTTTTTTTGCCTTTATTCATTTAACTCATCCATGTGTCTTGTTCAAGTATTTTGCGTACCAAGAATACTAGTGATTGACCGATTTATTACATTTAATTTTGCTGCTTGATAGTCATCAAATAATTTCTTCTGGTCCGTACCTTCAATTCGAAAATAACTAATTTGATCTGTAAAAGAAAATACAAATAATATAAATGTTATGTCACTCATTAAATATATAAACATTAAAAATAGAATTTTAAATCACAAATATATTCGACTGAGGTTTGTGTAGAATATTTTTCTAATTTTCATTATGTTACAGTTCACAAAGCATGTTCATACCTGAGTCAAAGTGTAGACAGTTTACTATGCTTGATGACTTCTTTTGTGGCGAATCACCACCACATAATATGCCAGCAATTTTGTTACCTAAAAATGTACTCTTAATAAATAAACCAAAATGTTAATTGTTCTAAGGCAGTCTAACGTTTAAGTAATCTCGTACATTAAGCATGAAAAAAAAATAAATCACTGTAATGTAATCTAAACACAAAGATATGTAATACATGACGATCTACTTTCAAAAAAAAAATCAGTGCTTTATTTTTCTTTAATACAAATGAACATAACAATTACACAACCGCACAAACACACATAAGTATATATATATATATATATATATATATATATATATATATATATATATATATATATATGTATATGTGTGTGTGTGTATTTATTAGGTGCCTGATGTTATCCAAAAGACACTTGCCCGAATGGGACAAATGGCCGTGAGTCACTTGCCCGACTTTTGTTAGCCAAAAAAGTGTTTACATTAACGTATATGTATATATAAATAAATAAATACATACATACTGTTATAAATAAAAAAAAGTACATATATATTTAAAGTACATATATATATATATATATATATATATATATATATATATATATATATATATATATATATATATATATAGGTAGAAATATATTTGTAACTTTTAAATGATTTAGTTACCAAAAGCTTGTTGGACCATTGAAGAACTTGTGCTATCCGGTTCCCCACCAATATTAGCAGACGAAATAACTAAAGGCCCAGAGGTTAATGTTAATAAACTTAAAATAGTGCAGTTTGGTATTCGAATACAAATGCTCGTTTTGTCCCCAATGAGATCTTTGGATTTAGGACAAATGTTCTGAAAATAATATCAAAAGTAATGATTGTTACTGAAAAACCAGTATTAAAAATGTAGAAAACTTACATTCGACTTTAAATGTTTTAAAATATTGTTTTATCCCAAACAAGGGTTAATCAAACATGGTTCCGGTTTAAATAAAGTATCATAACCTAAGTTATATTTACGTTACAACGTTTTTTTGTAGAATTAAAAAAAAAATAAACGACGATTTTGGTTATGTATCACCATTAATAATTACTTGTATAGAAGTATCAAGTTTCTTTTTGGTCGTTCATACAAGTTTAACTTTAATTTTGTTTTCATTAGCATAAGACAAACACATCATATTTATCTGTTTCACTGCATTTTTAAAGGGGTAGGCTCCAGTAAAAAAAAATTTAATACTATAGAGCAAAGTTTAATTCCCCAAAAAATCTTCAAAATTTAGTCTTTAACGGAGAGAAATTATTAAAAAATCATAATAAATGAGTATGAAGGTATGCACTTAAAGGTTTTAGCTGAGTACTCAAAAATATTGGACTTAAAATATTATACTTTATGAATGGTGAAGATCCTACGAATAGGTTATTTTTTTTCAACATGGCCACCGTTTTCATAATTACCAACATATTTCCACCAATTTTTACTTTCTCGATTATACGAAGTATAGAGAAAGTCTTGTAATCGTGCAAAAAAAAAAAATCGAGATTTTTACAAATCTCGACGCTTTACACCTCACTGATAAGGAAAAACATAATTTTGCAATCTTGTGCGTATGTGTGTGTGTGTGTGTCTGTCTGTCTGTCTGTCTGTCTGTCTGTCTGTGTGTAAACACGATTACTTGAGTACGTAACAGTTAGGCTGATGAAATTTTATATATAAGTATTTTACAAAAATCGTAGATCCGTATCAACTTTTGAGCGATTTCCGATAACCGGAAGTGGTACTTTTTCTACTTTGAATTTTTCAAAAGCATATAACTTGAGTACTATTTCAGATAGATAAATGAAATTTCACATTTAAGTAAAAGATCTAATTCTCTACCTTCTTTCAAATTTTGAGTAATTTCCGTTGACCGGAAGTACTAATGTACGCTATTTCCGATTTCTTAAAAATGCATGTAAATTTATAAAGTACTAATAATATTGCGCACTATTATGCACATTTTTTTTGTGTTCGCTTAGTGCGCAATTCTTTTTTCTATGAGATTATATCCTATTTTTAAAAGTTTAAGTAATTAAAAATCATGTCTATATTCCAAGTTAAATAAGAAGATTCGAGAAAGTTTAGGGGAGATGACTCCCGGTTTATTTTAATGGAAAAACAAATGCGAATGTAACTTTAAAAAGTTATAGTGAAATAATTGTTCCCGTTAAAACAAATAAAAATTGATGTGAATATTGTTTCGCGACTAATACCTCGCCTATCACTGTGCAGCGATCGTGCATGATCACAACGCCACACCACACAAAAGTTTAGCGACATGCCTGGCAATATTCCTACCAACGTATCAAGAACTTCTTTAATCAGTCTCTAGCAACTGCTCTAAAACTTAAATAATATTTTCCCGTTCGTGCACAAGACACATGAGGCAGATGAGGTAGTGCCCCTCTTCTTTAGCGACCTCGGCGTATGAAGGGATAGTGTGGTCAACACTATGCCCAGCCGCCTTTGTTTTCCCTAACATGAGTTAGGTACCCATCAGATCTTCGAGGACTCAGGGATTGAAAATCCGGATTCAAAATCGATACTTACGGGTTATAAATCTAGCTCTCTACTGCTAGGTCACTTTTAGTTACATCAAAAGCAACAATACAACTTGAGTTTGACTAATATCATCCCTACTTTCGTGTCCCTGCGGTAGAGCGATATACAGCTAATCCAGAAGTATCGAGTTCGAATCCGTGTTTAACTGACTAGAACGTCCCCGAGTCCACCCAGCTCTGACGGGTACCTAACTCAGTTAACGAATAAAAAAGTGGATGGGGATAGTGCTAACGACACTATCACTATGTATTCCGTAGTCTCAGGAACGGTGAACTCTTATTTACTTGCCCCCTATTCCGACAGGTTTTGTAAATGAACTTAACTTACTTAGTATTAACGTCGTTAGCTAAATCTCCTGTAAATTAACTAACGCTTATGATTATAAACTCAGTCACAACTAGACACTAATTTACTTTCTATGTATTACTCACATCAAGCCAATCCCCTTTGGGAACCACGAAACCAACGGAGCATGGGCAGCAGTATTTGATATAAGCCCACAAACGATCATGGAAGATTGGGTCGGCTTCTTCCAATGCCTGTATACTTGGCAACACAAGAGTAATATTCTTTTCTCTAGATCGACTCTGTGAAAGGCAAACATTTAAGTTTTGGTAAATATTAGTATAAGACCATCCAATGTTTTAAAATGTTATAACTGGAATAAAAATAGAGTAGGGAAATATGATTAAATATAGTTTTCATTTTAATTGTAGGTATGTCCATACTATTATGTTGTAATTATGTTATGGAGGTAATGATAGTTGTAAGTCTGTCCTTTTACTATATATAAAATATAATATAAGGTTATGAGTATTAGCTTGGAAATGAGAATGGGTACAGGTTAAGGGAATAGAACAGTGAATGTGTATAAGTATGGCATGGATATGGGTAAGTGAATAAGTAGGTGTTAGTAAAAGTAGGTGCAGTGTTTCTTTCAGACATTTTCTCAGTGGGGGGGGGGGGGGGCACTTGAACTTTTTGGGGGACGGACTAAATTTTACAGGGGGGATGCGCTGACATTGGTAAAAGTACATATTTGCTATATGAATCCTTTTTTTTTGTACGGGGAGGGAGGTAGAAGTTCTTCGGATGCCTGAAAAAAACTCTGGGTAGGTGTGGGTATTCTGATATCTTATTAACAGCTTTATACTAATACAATCAAGCTAATTACCTGATTTACTTATTTTAACGAAAGTACAAGTGATGTACTGCATTACATTTAACTGAAGTGGAGAAATGTTCTTACTTTTAAATCAAATATTTTGTCTATACTTTTTGGACATTTTACAGAGGCAGCCAACGCATACACAGAGTCTGTAGGTACAGCGATAACGTCTCCTTTAAGCAGCATCATAGAAGCCGTAGCCACATCTTTTGTTTTTAGTCCGTCTAACATAACTGTTGTACCTTCTGCCTATTATTTTTATCAAATGTAAGAAAATTAATTTGATAATGTTTACATTATTTCTTTGTATGCTACCCTTAACAATTAACCAACAAAAAAGAAATTGATCACTATGTTTTTTTTTACTATAGTAATATGAGCTAAGCCTTTATCTTAATAGTATTATCGATACTATAAAGCTCAACTTGACTTTGTTTGTTTGCATTACTGTTTGCGTTTGGATTTTATTTTGTGTTATTCTTTGCGTTTACGCTTCTTTTTGTGTTTGCGTTTGAGCTTGTTTACGATGATGTTTGCGTTTATGTTTAATATGGCGTTTATGTCTTTTTTTTTTTTTTTTTAAAATGCGTTTGTATTTGCGTTTGTGCTTACATTTTCTCAAATGTTCATCCTAATATATAAAAGCCCATGTGCGCACTTGTCTCTCTCTCTCTCTGTCCGCAACATACTTTCCGGGGCTCTGAGGTCAGTATCCTCAGTGATATATAGAGAACTTAATGATACTGAGTTTTGTTTAAAATAATATAATGGAATAAACTAAATTTATTTAAATAAGAAAAATAAAAATAAAGACATATGTAATGAAGAAACATATTTTAAATTATGCAACCAGAAAAGTTTTTATGTTTGTGCAAAAAGCTCAAAAAAAATGACGTCACATGTCACATGTTTGTACTACGGAAATTACACAACACTCATGGCGCCAATGATTGTAGGACAAAAATAGAATTAAACATCGAATGTTGTAAATGATACACAATACTAATGGCGTTATCTTCAATAAGATTCGCTTCCAATATCTTCCAATTTTAGAATATGAAGAAATGAACTATTTCATTCATATCTGATTTAGATCTATTGATCTATTTATCATGACGTACGCTATAAAATTTATACAATTTTCTCGGCCAAAACTAATAAAAATTACTTTTAAAAAAAACATGTATACCATTTATGAGCCCCGTTTTTAACAGAATCATTTGAGTCTTAATCAGTGTGTGCATTTAATATGGTGTTGTGTTGACTAATAATGCATTTAATTTGGCTTTAATTTTTCTAATAGGTATTGGTAGCTTATGTTATTTAAAATGTGTCAGGTTTTTAGTTATTTATTTTCTTTGCTTTGTCACTAATATCGTTCGACAAGTAGTTAAAGTACATTGCTTTTTGACCAATAACTAGTTTATAAATTATTTTTCTCAAACAAGTATAACATTAAAAATGTATCGTCATATACTTCATGTGTAACGGGTACCAATGGCTAGTTTTTACATGTAGACCTTTACTTAAAATTTATATATTCCTAAACCCCGGGCATCAAAAGGTTTATGCTGATTAATGAACACACACCTCACTACCCTTTACATATAAGTTTATATCAAATGCCAGTGAGCAATAAAAATTAATAAATACAATATTTAAAATTCTATCAAAATAAAAATACATCTTTTTAAAATACACCATACGTGTTACAATTACCCGCGCTTAATTTTTAGTATGAAAATCTATTAATACACATGTACAGAGGAGAACTTACCATTTCAAGTAGCTAGCTGCACACACATTCTACGTATGAAATGCTCTTAAAATATTAAGCACCAAAACTAAATAGATCGATCATAAGTTGCCAAAATGTCCAAATATAGAACTTCACAAATACTGAATTATCGGCGGTGTTTAAGCGCATACAGGATTGTATGGTACAGTACGATTTTATGTCGTCTCATAAATATATCCCTCTTTTATGTGTGTCAATTCAACGCGACCAACCGTGTCATCAAAATTGCGCTATGAACGTTGTCAGGTTTTGACGAAACGACGTTTAGTGCACACCTGTTGAAAAGTTTTTTAAACTTTCTTTATGGAAGTCGCACAGCGAATGAAAAGAGTTTTTTTTCCAAAACCAAAACTTTCTATTCAGCGATTTCTCTGAATAATCGATCGCTTCCATGTAAATAATTTGCATATAAAATATCCTTGTTCACGGGCAAGTTTATAATCTAGTACGATTTCTGAATGTGATTTTGAATAAGGTTGATCGTGTGATCACATTTGCCTTCTGAATGCTGGAAACCTGTATATCTGGTTGGACGTCAGACTGTGTTTGTAGGTTACCTTCAGGAGCGAATCTTTTTTTCTGTTATAGTCACACCGCTCATAAAAAGTTGCTTCAAGTACATTTTGACACTAATTTATTCTATTGAAATTTCTTCTATTGAGGAATTTCCATGAAATGTTATTCCAGCTAGAAAAAAGCTTACGTGTTAATAATCACCTGTCTAGGACATACTATACAGGTACATGTTGTTACCTTCAGGGCAGGTTTAGCTTAAGAATAAAGTCGGGTACTTGAACCAAACTCTCTATAGAGTTGAATAAACGATCCAAAATTTGGGAGTATAGGTTGTGTAAAGAGTCGAAATAGGAGGCAATTAGGAGTTTTGAAAGAATTATTCATAGCATACATGATGTAGCAATTGTTACTATCGTTATGTAATGCTCAGAATGTGTTGCGAAAACAAAAACTTATTTCGCTAATTTATTGAGTACAATTAATTGAAACATTTAAATTAAAATGGAATATAATTTATTTACAAAATAAAAAAACCCAGACGTCAATGCATCAATAACTACAACGATTAGTTTTAATTTATCAGAGTATTTATTTGGCTGTTTCGGAATCCAGCATTGCATACATACTAAGTTTATATAATACATTTATATTAATCTTGCTTGTATAATAAGTTTCAAAGCTCCAAGATTTGTATAGCAGACCACTTTCAATTGGGCTATTTAAACTATTTTTAGATATAAGAGTGTTGAGGGAATGGGTGTATGTGTGTATTCCTGTGTGTCTTTGTATGTATGTGTGATATTTTAGGTTTGCCAAAAGCGATCTATCTAGAAAAAAATATATATAACTCCCACTTTAATTATACAGAATACAATGCAATCTTGCATTTAAAACAGTTTAAAATATAATTCGTTTCAAAATTAAATAAACGAAACTTAATTACATTTACAGCAAAACGTAAAATACAATTTAAAAATCAACGTGCATGTTTATCTAAAGCTTAGAACAGATCTCACATAATGAAAAAATATACATCTTGCACTAAGTAAAGCCTATATAGTAAAACAACTATGTAACACTGGCTAAATATTCTGTAAAGCTTACTATTAGTTAAACACATTTGTGTCACTAAAGTTAGACGCAATTGGAGTGGGCTGCTTAGATCAGCATTTTATTTTACAACACATGTAAAATATAAATTTTAATTTTAAATTTTATATTCGACAAAAAAAAAACACATCGAGATGAATGTTAACCATATGGTCGCTTTTCTTCGATAGACTTCTGCTTTATTAAAGGTATCAAAAAATTAGTGGAAAAAAAGTAATAAATTTCACAGCGCGACGTTTTAACGTATCTTACAAAGCTTAATTATTCTTATGTTTCCATTTGAATTGTAATATTAGAGTTAAGTATCGAAAGCGTTTAATTAAGCTTTAGCATTGGAGCTTTTAAGTTGTTGTTTTACCACCTTCAACTTCTTTTTTTGCAGCCATATAGTCTTTATAAATGGTTTCTTGCGACGTGCTGCCAATGCGAAAATAGCAGAGTTCTGAAATCAATTTATATAGGGCTTATATATATATATATATATATATATATATATATATATATATATATATATATATATATATATATATATATATACAGAATTCAAATGGACCCTTTTTTTCCTCTATCCTACCGCTTTCCCATATGAGCCGGGTGTGGAAAAAGTAGGAGTATATTGCATATTAATACATACATGCGATAATATTATATACATTATCATTAATTTGATATATCTTAATTTAAGAACAACTCATATTTTAACACATTTTAATTTTAACACATCAATTTTTCTAATACTTTAAGGTTTGTAGGTGCTTGAGCTTGGGGTAAATTGGGGTGGTTGTATCTTTTGCTTAGTTTGGTTTATAGCTAAATACAATTCACGTATAGCCTGTTTTTTTGCTTTTCTGGCAATATACTTTATCGTGCCCTAGGCCATTGTTTGAATATCAGCTCTGGATCTAGCGTGTCTACTGACATATTTTCTTTGCAGACTCCGTAGTTTAAAACGTCGCTGTGTGACTTGTCTAAGTGTTCTGCTTTTGTTTCGCTGAATGAGAGGTGGCATATTGCGCGACGGATTAGTTTTGGCTGATAGGTAGGCCTACTCCGGGTGGGGAGTTGATTGCTTGTTTTACGTTCCTTTGTTAGCTGTAGGTGGGTTGGTTGATGCTGGCTTACCTTGATCATAATTTTTTTTTCTTTTTGAGGGTTGGTTGTGTTTACTCTAAGGGTGTAGGGGGAGTTGTTTGTGGGGTAGGTATTTTTTCCGTTGTTTTGACTATATTGTTGGTTTTCTGCTGTGTTGTTGTTGAGGGAGTTACTTTATTATTCTGTTGTTGTTTTACTAGCAGGTACATCCACTGTATTTAATGTTAAGGGTGAGACTACTTGTCAGTCAGCATTGAGGTCATTGTTAGTGGCTCGGGTGTTACCTGTGTTGTTGTTGGGTCTTCTTGTTACGGTGACTCTTGGTATGTTGCGTGACAATGGTTTGTCCAGTGTTTGTCCAGTGTTTCTTTGATCCGCATGTTTGACATGCTTGACGTCTGTCCGGTATTGCAATTAACCTGTTTATTGTTGTGTTTTTGTACGTGATTTTAATGTAGTGCCGTGTCTCTGTATGTATATAAAATGTTAGTGGAAGACATGTATGTAGTAAGTAACTTTTTGATCGCCATGTGGTAATATTTTGAAAGTGTTAATTTTCGTACTAAAATTTAAATTGAAAATTTAAAAAATTGATAACAGTTTAGAAGCTGTTCCTACATGTCCTCTATGTAAAAGTTTCTTTCCATATGCGTTATTGTCTGCGTTTATGCTTGCGTTTGTGTTTGCATTTGTGTTAGCATTTGTGTTTGCATTTGTGTTTGAGTTTGCTTTTGTATTAGCGTTTGTGTTTGTGTTTACGCTTGTGTTTGCGTTTGTAGTTGCTTTTGTGTTTGCTTTTGTGTTTGTGTTTACGCTTGTGTTTGTGTTTGCGTTTACGTTTGAGTTACGTTTGCGTTTGATTTTGCATTTTCATTTGTGTTTGCGTTTGCTTTTGGTTTGGTGTTTACATTAGCGTTTGTGTTTCCGTTTTCGTTTTTTTCTTTTGTGTTTGTAATTGCGTTACGTTTGCGTTTGTGTTTATATTTTGGTTTTGGTTTTGGTTGTTGTTGGTTGAGGTTACGTTGAAGTTTATAGTTAGGTTTAATGTTATGTGTTATGTTTCTCAAACGTTCATATTTGCATATAGATATATGATTGGAAAAGTAATATATTTCCTAAACCCTGAAAATGCCGTGTAGATACTGCTTAATAAAATACAAAAGTCAAGGTCCTTTATGGATAATTTTTTTTAAAGAAGCCAGTGCAGGGTCTGTTGTAGAAGGCTAGTATAACAGAGGTATTAAAACACTGGGTAATGACACACTTGTAAAACATATATTTCAATAACTGAAAAATAGAGAGAGGAAAAAGATAGAACTGCTTTAAAAAGTAAATCATCTACAGAAGAAAGAATAACTACTAGGTTTTTATTATATCAATCAGAACAATTCTAGCCTTTAAAATTATATGAAATTTATTTTTGCTAATACCAGTGGACTTTGACCATAACATCAACGCTACCCCAAACCAGCCTACGCCCCTGCCATCGGGTTTTCAGCCTTTATTACAATAAAGTTTGTACAGTTAGATAGCGGTACATGTTACAATACGTTTATAAATACTCATCTTACTTTTAGGGATGTCAAGACAATTCACAATACTCGACGACGTGAGGCTTAAAGCCTTCCCGGCATCAACAATGCCGTCAATTTTATCTCCTGTAGAAAGAACAACAATGTGTTTTTGTCAAATACATTGTATTTAGTTACTTGGTGGTTGTTAGTAACGGGGCAAAAATATAATTATATCCGCATTAATTAACCATAAGACCATTGACTTTCTGGCAAAAAACAAATTTTAATAATAGAATTGGAACAAAAGTTAACGAATATTGTAAGAAATAATTTAAAATGCAAGGATTGCACTAATGACATTGGTAATACAAACAAATAAGATGGAAAGTCTGATTGAAAAAAAAGATGATACACAAGTCAAAATATAATGCAAATTACGAAAACATTCGCAAAATAAAGTAAATTCTTCTCACAGAACAAGTTGAATAAACCGGGAGTGATTTCCATTAAACTTTCTCGAATATTCTTATATAACAATACGGGGGATGACAACCCGGGATGTCGACATTATTGTTAATCCATTTTTAATTACTTAAACTTTTAAAAATAGAATAGAATCGCGTAGAAAAAAGAATTGCGCACCATGTGAGCTCCAAAAATATGTGTATAATAGTGCGGAATATTATTCGTACTTTATAAATTCACATACGTTTCTTTTTGTGAAATCAGAAATAGCGTAAATTACTACTTCCGGTTAACAGAAATTACTCAAAATTTGACAGAAGGCAGCGAATTAGATCTTTTACTTACATGTTCAATTTCATTTATATGTCGGAAATAGTACTCAAGTTATAGACTTTTAACAAATTTAAAGTAGAAAAAGTTCCACTTCCGGTTTTCGGCAATCGATGAAGAGTTGATAAGGATCTACAAATTTGATATCTATCTAATTACTACTAAAACTCAAGTTTGTTAACATGTTTGTATATTATTTTTTGTTTTGTTTTTTTTGTTTGTCCGATTGAATACTGGAGGAAATCGGCGCTAGGTGGAGAGCTGTAAAATAGTATGTACGTAGAGAACAATTTTTGTTTTCAGACAGACTGTTAATCACTAATTTTTTTAAAGACGTTAATTAATTTTTTGATTTATTCATAGGTAGATTAACCACATTAATTTTAAAGTTTTAGTACAATGGCTTAACTTAGACTAAATAGTGACGTTTGATAACTCATTTTTTGTTTGTTTGTTTTTCTGACTTGTTATTGGGGGGAATCTGCATTATGTGTAGAACTGTAAAATAGGATTTTGGGTGGTAAATATTGTTCTTTCTTAAACACACTGTTAATTACAAACTCATTTAAAGCCGTTAATTAATTTATTGATATATTTATTGGTAGATTAACCACATTGATTATAAAAGTTTAGAACAATGACTTTAGTAATAGTAAAAGGAGTTTTTATTCTTTTTACAACAATGTTTTTAATTATTTTTTCTTAAGGCCTATTTGTGAATGATAAGGTTGACTATCAGGACCTCGCGGTGCACAGGGCAGGTGAAGTAGAGTTCACCTGTTTCTATGTTCTAAGCATATGAAGGGATAGTGTGGTCAGAGCCATGCTCGACCGAAATCGTTTTTTTTTAAAATACAAACATGTCTGAGACTTGGCGGGACACTGGACAGGTGAAGTAGAGTTTAGTAGAGTTTTTAAAATATAAAAAAACGTCTTTTTGAATGTGTGGTCTGGTTATTTTGGGATGATAAGTGCTGACAGACGTAATGTCATTTATAGATGACCCCCCGAAACCCACAGTTATCTAATAAGATATCGGGTTGTCTAGTATACCACTAAAACTCAAGTTTGTTTACATGTTTGAATATTTTTTTTTTTTTTGTCCGATTGAATGCTGGAGAAAATTGGCGCTAGGTGGAGAGCTGTAAAATAGTATGTACGTGAGAACAATTTTTCAGACAGACTGTTAATCACAAATATTTTTTAAAGACGTTAATTAATTTATTGATTTATTCATAGGTAGATTAACCACATTAATTTTAAATTTTTCAAACAATGGCTTTACCTTGACTGAATAGTGACGTCCCCTGATTTGTTTATTTTTTAGTACAATAAGATGGCGGCTTCCATCATACAGAATCATAGGCCCATTCAAAAGTTTAACGCGTACTAAAGCTAATTTTCTGTCGGCCATAACTTTAACAATACGTCCGTTTGCTGTTTTTATTACGTTTCAACACTTATATAAATTTTCAACTGTCTTTTTCATTTAGTTTTACAATAATCGACCTATCTAGCTAGAATAGGTCTAATGATTAGATCTAGATCTAGATCTAGCAAGAGTTACGCAAAAACTTAAGCAAACGAGTCGTAGAATCTAGAACTAGATAATTCTATCTAGATCTAGATAATTTCAGACCTTCATTATTTTATATAGATCTATATGCATCTTTGTTTGTTTAGCTATGTAATTGGCTAATTTAAGATAAATTTAATTTGAAAGTTACTACTACTAGTCTTAGATCTAGATCTATGCGCGTAAATCAAGTTGCATAAGGAGACTCAAAGTTTTAAAGTATAGTATAAAAAAACGTCAGTGACGTCACGAGATAAATAGCTAAATTGTTAGTGTAATAGGCTTTCATGCGGGTGGCACGGGTTCTAGACCAATACGTCAATGTTAAATTTTTGTCAACTTTTTATTTATTTTTAGATGTGAATGATAAAGTTGCCTATTTGAACTTGGCGGGATACATGGCAGGTGAAGTAGAGTTCATCTGTTTCTTTGTCCTAAGCATATGAAGGGATGGTGTGGTCAGAGACATGCTCGGCTGGAATCGTTTTTAGCGCAATTTCCATTCTGGAGAATTGCGTTTATTAACTCGCCAAGGGTGGATGGATGTCCGCAGCTTAAAGTCGTATCTCCTCCTCAACGAAGCAATATCGAGGACTAGTTCCAAAAGCAAATATATTAAGCAAGTTCCAAGGATGATTGTGGGCCAAAGAAATTCCCGGAATTTCTTCATGGATTTCCCAGAAAAGCCACACAAAAAAAAACCATGAAAAATGCAGTTTTTGGCTCATATCTCGGCAACCAGACCACTTAGCGACTTGAAACATTTATCAATCGATTCCTGCCATAATTTAGACCAATATTGCCGAAGAAAGTTTTCAAAAAATATCCTTTCGTTCGGTCACAAAAAATTATTTAGGAAATAGCGCTTAAATTGTCACTAGACTTTTTATTAAATTGTTTTAAACGATAAAAACATGTTGTCTGTGACTTGGCGGGACACTGGGTAGGTGAAGGAGAGTTGAGTAAGTCACCTGTGACGTCAGTATATGAAGGGATAGTCCGAAATCGGTGTTTTCGGTGTTTTTGAAAGATAAAAAATATCTTTTTGAATGTGGGGTCTGGTTTTTTGAGACGATAAGTGACAGACGTGATGTTTTTTATGGATGACCCCCGAAACCCACAGTTATCTAACTAGATAACGGGTAGTCTAGTAATACTTATAGATGAAATTTTATCAACCTAAATGTAACGGTACTCAAGTTATCGTGTTTACACACACACACACACACACACACACACACACACACACACACACACACACACACACACACACACACGGACAAGATTGCAAAACTAAGTTTTTCCGACTGACTTAGCGAGGTGTAAAACGCCGAGATTTGAAAAAATCTAGATTTTGTTTTGCACGATTACAATACTATCTCTATATTTAGGTTTCGTATACGAGAAAGTAAAAAAAATAATGCTATCTCGTAAAATTCATTCACATAATCATTTGCAAATTAAGTAAAAATCAACTTATGCTCTAAAATCAATAAATAAATAATTTATGTAATAAATAACAATAATAATACTCTTTTGTGATGCTATTTTATACATGAACTAAAGCGAGTTTAAACAATAAACAGATAGCCTACATATTGCACATGGTAATTCGTCATTTTCAATCAACATGAAATGAATATTCAAAAAAATTATTCGTGTTACTTACCAAATGCTTGGTCAACCATACGTGAATTCGTTGAGTCCTGTGTTCCGTGTATATTGGCTGAGGATATAGCCATGGGTCCGGTCTTCGTACAAAATAAACTTAGCTCTGCGTTGGTTGGGATTCGAATGCAAATACTATCTTCATCACCCAACAGAGCTATTGTACTTGCAGGGCATAATTTCTGTCGATATGTGAAAACGTACCATATTTTTGACATTCTGTTACTGTGAATATTTCAATATGCAGTTTATAAAAGCTTAGTAAATCTTATATTCTTGACTGACACAGTAGCATTAGACGCAGAGCAAATTCTGGGGACGTATATTCGTTTGGTGTATGTGCATAGAATTTTTTAAACCATTGCTAGAGATAGGCTTCAATGCTAAAGTTGTATACACAGTATTTAGATACAAGTTAGTGTTATTACAAACCATCTCATTAAATTTTAATATCACAATGGCTAATTGTATTTTGTGTGTTCAATGTATAAACAATATTGAAGTGTGATCACGAGCTGTTAATAAACACTCAATATAGATATTATTATAAATGATAAGTTTAAAATCTACTCTTCACAATGTTACCGCTAAACAGTATTAACATTACAGCGGTTGTAGCCTCACTAAAAGTGACCCACATTCGCTGTTTTGTATAAAACAAGACGTATACTTTATGATACTACTTTATTAGTTCTGTCAAAGTTGTCATTCTAGTATATTTATCTAGTTTAGAGTAGGTGTTTTGTTCATTAAATTTAGTAAAATTTAAATTTTTTCATATTTGCACTTTATTGCCAAGCCCACGGAGCCGTCATACAAAGCTTTTTCCACTTTTGCCTGTCTCTGGAAATTTCTTTGGCATTACCCAAAGATATTACTGATTAATTATATTGATACCAATATTAATTTATATGCATTAATAAGTTTGCATCGGTGCAATTAATTTTTTTTAAAGCTACAAAGATGACAATATTTGTAACAAATGTTATATGTTAACAGTAACATCACTCTAACCTTTAAATGTATGTTTATGTGATTTGAAATACATTATTTTAAGAGAAAGATAGTCGGTTAAATTGTAACTGAATATAATAACAACACAATTAAAACCGCTGAAATAAATAAAAGAAGTAAAAGATTTTTTATTATTTTTTTGATAGAAGTGGTTTTGAGAATAATATTTAAAGATAAAGATAATTGTTGCATATAAATTATTTTATTCAACGCAAGAGAAAATCTTCTATAACTTTAGCATTAGCTTACTTGTATGTGGATCATATATCAAGTTCAAGTAGCTCCTCAAGTATCTTACCTCAAGCCATTTTCCTTTCGGAACAACAAAACCATAAGCAGCGGGTTTTATAAATGCCAGCAAGACCTTGTGAAAGTCTGGTTCGGTGTCCACTAATGTTTGTTTATTTGCCAACAGGAGAGAAATAGCTATTTCAGAAGGTCGTTTCTGTAAAACATGTCATTTTTACAAGCTTTTATTTAACTTACTTCCTCCGTCGTCAGTCGTCAGTCGTTAGTCTAGATCGAAACGCCCGAGCAAAATTTCGTACACTTCTAACTGACAGATTTGTTTCAACGTTGGCACGTGGATCAAAACATGAAGACAATGCAACATGACATTAAATTTGCCTAATAAATTTTTTTTAAAAAATTAATTAAAATTTTGTCCAAATTAGTAGGCTGTCTCATTAAACTATTCCGCACAATTAGATACGCGTCATCACGTTCATTAGGTGCGCAATGGTTTTTAGTCATGCAACTCTATTGCATTAAAAAATTTAAAGTACGGAAAAATAAATTCATAAATAAAGTTGTAATACCAATCTTTTATGTGCTAATGCACTGAAAGGTTGAAAATAAATTAGTTTCTTTAAATGTATAGTAATATAATAAACTACTATTCACATAACTATAAAGAAATATTTAGGAAGCGACCCACGCTTTTCTCCTGAGGGAGTCCGGGCGCTCCGGGTCACTCAACTGCCTGGTGTAGTTTTACCGCTGAATCGAGAATTATCTTAACGCCCAATCAACGGATGCCAAATGCTAAAATAGCCTCTCGGGATTAATGGGCGGCAAAACCGTACATGGAGAAAAATCGCCCTTCCTGGGGCGACGCCCCTGACAGCTTCTAATTTTGATTTTCGCAGAAACTTTCCCGGAAATATTCCTAACTACCCAAAGTTTCATGGCAGTAGGATAAAATGTGTCGTAAAGAGTATACACGAGTAAAGTATAATTTCAAAGTACAAATTAGGTAAGTAAGTATTTTAATTAGATTAATTAATCAAATTAAAATTTTGAACAACTACAATTATTTTAAAAAGGGACTAACAATGATTATCAGATTTTAATTTCTTACTTTTACATCAAAGATCCTTTGAACGCTAGCTGGGTGTTTAACAGATGCCGCTATAGCGTAAACGGTGTCTGTAGGAATTCCAAGCAATTTTCCACTTTTTATCAATGCGGCAGCTTCTTCTAAATCATTCACATTTCGTGCGTTAAATTTCCTTTTTTGTGTTGCCTTTTAATTTGGGGTGGGGGGGGGGGGGGCAATTTTAAACAACACATTTTACAGTTATTATAAACTAAACATTTGAACAAACTAATATTATGATTAAATGTGAATATAAATTACGAATATTAAATAATAGCTTATTATGGCCCAGACATTTAAAAATAGAAAGCTATACTGCTTCTTAAAATATAACTTTCTTAAAGAACATACCATATTGAAATCAACCAATTTCTGATACCGTAAATACATTAACACCTTGAAGTCGACATCGAGAGTAAGAAAATGTCGGCAAAATATGCCTTGCGAATAGATTTATAGCTTGTAACTGAAACCGGTTCAAACGAGAAGTCTGGGATTGCATTTTGTTATTGATCGTAAGCTAGCCTAAATATCTAGGACATAAAGAGTATAGATAAACTCTTACTTGCCGACATTGATATCCAGGCCAGTGGCTGTTATTAAATACCACTCAACGCTACCTTTTTAATTTTTTTTATACTATTCATGTCTAATTGTAATTGTAATCTACATATAAAGGAGGCGTTGTGTAAAAATAAAAATTCCAGGCCATTTTTTACATTTTCTGTTGTCTATATAAAAGGCGTGATTCCTTTTCTGTTGTGGGTTGTATTGTTCAAGTTTCACACAAGGCGAATCTTGCTGTATTGCATTTTATCAACTTCGAGAATATAAGTTGACTGGGTAAAGAGGGATGGGCATTATCGGTTTGGGGTCAGATGAATGGCGTCTTCATGTTCGATTACCAAAGTGTGTAAGGGTGTAGGGAACCTGAAGTACGGGGGAGGGGGGCGATGAAGAAGTTAGGACAGAGGAAGCGAATAAGTATTCAAGTTACTAATTGGCCGGTATGGTTTAGATAGTTAAGGATGTGCAAGCACAGTCTTGATTTCTTGCCTTGCTTTCATGACAAATAATTATTAACTAGACTACCCGTTATCATTAGATAACTGTGGGTTTCGGGGGGTCATCCATAAATGACATCACGTCTGTCACTTATCATCACAAAATAGCCAGATCCAACATTCAAAAAGAAGTTTTTGTCTTTTAAAAACACCGTTTTTGACTGAGCATGGGTAGGACCACACAACCAATTCATATGCTGAGGTCACAAAAACAGGTCAACTCTACTTCACCTGCCCAGTGTCTCCCCAACTCATACATGTTTTTATCTTTTAAAACACCTATTTCGGCTGAGCATGGGTTTGACCACACTATCCCTTCATATGCTGACGTCACAGGTGATCTCTACACCTACCCAACTCTACTTCACCTGTCCAGTATCACGCCGAGTCTCAGATAGCATGTTTTTATCGTTTAAACAAAAAGATTCCAGCCGAGCATGGCTCTGACCACACTATCACTTCATATGCTGTGGACAAAGAAACAGGTGAACTCTACCTCACCTGTCCTGTATCCTGCCAAGTTCCGATAGGCAACTTTATCATTCACATCAACAACAAAAAATAAAATAAAAATTAAAATTGACATGATGTGTCTCGAACCCGTGACACCGCATGGTAACCTAATACACTAAGATTTTAGTTGTCTAAGCTCGTAGGATCAGAAACGAATTTACTGATATATTTTACTTTTATTTTGCGTAAAAAATTCATTTACGTGAATAGGCTCTAGTGCCTAGAGATCTAGTATTATTTCAAATTAAATTTTATCCCAAATTAGCCAATTCCATAGTGGCATAGTTAAACAAACAAAGATTAATATAAATTAATTAAGAAGTGCAATCGTTTAGTGTATAGTTTCTAGATCTAGATTTAGAATGTACGTTAAGTCTAGATCTAGATGTAGAATTTACGTTAAGTTTAATTTTTGCCGTAACTCTAGATCTAGAACCTAGATAGCTATATCCCATGTATACTCGAATTAGATGGTCATTAAAGCTAAAAAGCAAAGATTTATATCAAATATTTAAGGACTAACATAATTTAATAAAGAAACTCAATAACTTATTGTGGTTTTAAAATGGTTTTTATTTTTAACTAATTAATTTTGGTTTGACCTATATTCCAGATTTTAGATCCAGGATTGACTTTCTCTGCGTCCGATAGTTGATCTTTAGATCTAGATAAATAAATTGTATATTCAAATTAGAAGAGCCATTGAAAATTGATAATAGTGTTGGAACCTAATAAAAATAGCAAACGGACGCATCCTTAAAGCTATAGCCGACAGAAAATTAGCTTTATAATGCGTTAAAAATTTGAATAAGCAACACAATCGTCAATGGAATCCGCCATTATTGTTATAAAAAGTAAATAAATCATGTGACGTCACTATAAGTAAAGTCATTGTTCTGAACTTTTATAATGAATGTGGTTAATCTACCAATGAATATATCAATAAATGAATTAACGTCTTTAAATTAATTTGTGATTAACAGTTTGCTTGAAAAAGAAAATTGTTCTCTACCTAATTCAATGGCGAAACTAGAAAAAAAGGGCCTCCCCGCAAAAAATTTTTGGGCCCCATATATATATATATATATATATATATATATATATATATATATATATATATATATATATATATATATATATATATATATATATATATATATATATATATATATATATATATATATATATATATATATATATATACGAAATACGAACATAGAATACTAAAAACGGGTATGATCGAATTTTGAAAAACTTTAAAAATTCTTAAAGCTAGAATCTACTTACGCGCTGACGCAATAACAGAAAATTTTGCACCTTAAAATATATATATATATATATATATATATATATATATATATATATATATATATATATATATATATATATATATATATATATATCAGTTTTATCTGTAATTTAAACATGTGAGGAATTCACACCATTCTCGTTCTGCATCATTTGTGTGAGTGCTATTAGTCTGTTTTGAAGTAAGTAGGTCACCAACCAGTTCTACGGCTTATGCAGGTTTAATTGAGCCTAAGAAGTGTTGGCGATTGGTCAAAAGAATATGAAGCATGAAAGCTTTGTATGTGTAATGGTTTCTCGCCTTATGTTTATTTTTATGTTTTTTAGCATTTATATTATTAGTTTTTAATACATTTCCTTTTTATACTATGTCATTCTTCATTATGTTTTTTTTAAAATAATATTTAAGAGAAGTGTTTGCTTTTTAATTTTTTTAGTGCAAATCCATTAAAAGTTTCTTAACAGCACACATATTTGGCAATTTAAAAAAGGGAAGTAAGTCATGGAAGTGGCTTGAACGTTTGCCTCTTTCACACTACAAGTCATGTAGCCTATATATTTTTTCCTTTACGAAACAGCGTGTGTTGGTTATTGTAGAACATCACTATTGTATAAGATATTTTTTTTTACTAGAAAATTATTTTTTTAACTACAAAAAAATTGATTATGGTCGGCCATGGGCCCCTAAACGGCCTGGGCCCCCCGCATTGCGGGGTCTGGCGGCACTGTAGTTCCGCCCCTGACCTAATTACGTTTTGTACAGCTCTACACCTAGTGCAGATCCTCTCCTGTAACCAAACAGACAAACAAAAAACCCCCAAAAAAACAAATTTAAAATTCGAGTTAGAGTAGAATATAGGTAGATATACTAATTAATTAATAGATAATTAATATTTATTAAGGGAATGCTTCATAAAAGTATTGCGGTTAGTAATTTACATATTTTTGTTTAAACAGTCACATATGTAGCTTAATGTCAATAGTTGTAAACACTATAGAAAAGAAAACGTTCAATGGAGCTATATATTCTTTATTTTGCTACACGTGGTTTAAGCACAACAAAAAAAAACCGTCATGTTGCAATTGCTTTTAAAACATCAATGGAAGAATATTTATTGGATGTAATACATAATTTAAGCTTTAAAAACCTGTTACGTGTTGGCAACAACAAACAGCAAACGTTTAGTTTACATTTGAGTAGATTAAGCTGACACAATTACAATTTTTCTAAAAAATATATTTAACATTAATTGATTTTTTAAATATGAATTAGCATCCATCCGGCATTTAATACGTTGGAATTAAAATTATTACGATACATAAAAAAATGGTTGACAGTTTTGGACTAATTTTTTTTTCTATTATATAGTTTGTATAGGACCTAGTTCAAATTACTGTGACAATTTAAAGCACGAAAAAAATTACTAAAAGTAAATAGCTTGTTCTAATTAGAAAACGTTGATATTTATAAAGTAATTATATTATTTTTAGATACAGTAAACATGTAATAGCAAAATCATAATCATTAATTTAGACAAATTACGTTTGTTACTTTAACAATTCCGTTTTCTTCATTCCTTACTTCTTTTTCTTGTATTCCGCACATTGCAAATAAAATCAAAGCTACACAAAGATACAATTTACACAAAACTAAAAATCTAATTAATTGACTTAACACATTAAACAACGAATGTGTAAATCTAGAAGTACGAGGACAAATAAATCGATTCTAATACAATTGTTTTTAAAAATAGCAACTCAAGAGTTTAATCGTTAGAAGTGTTTAAAATATTTAATACAATATGAAGATAATGATACATATTACAAGCAATTATCTCTTATTATTTTACATGTAGGGAAACAAAAAAAGTGAATACAATTCATATTGTTTTTGATACGCTAAAAATATTAGTAGACCATTTATTAGATAATGTGATACATAAACATCTAAAAACTGTAATGATACCACATGCAAATATATATATATATATATATATATATATATGGTTTATTTCCAATGTATTCTAATTTGAATGTATGTTTCTCCATGTTGTTTAAGATAGGTATCATACAAAAAAAAGAAACTACTTTAATTATAATATTAGGAAGCTGATATTTTATACTAGTACTATGCATATGGGTACGAGAAAGAAAATATAGTTCAAAATTGTAGTGACCTTGAAATTACCTTGAGAATGGAAGCTCTTACTATATTTAGTAACATATTCATGTGCACGATTATGAAAAAAGTATAAACATTTAAGAACTAAAATTTTTCACGTTTTTGTAAGATCATGTGTACTTTGAACCACTTTAATTTGATTCTAAAGGATAATAAATATTTTATGAATTTTTAAATTTTATGTGAGAAAAAAATTATAGGTCTGTGGTTACATTAACATCCATATCTTTAACAATTTTTGGAATATCTAAATAAAAGTGGTACAATTTCAAGAAATCGTACATACTTAACACATGTACCAAATTTCAACCGAATAACTTTATATTATTTTTGAAAAATCCTGCACAAAGTGTCAAAAAAGGTGTTTTGAGGAAAAAGCAAAAAATAAAAAAGAGCTCTTCGATTGGTTTAAACTCTATTATCTCATAGGAACTTTATAAATTCACTAAAAATAAAGCAGAACTATATTGAAAATAATATTAAACAAGGATTAAAACCAAGCTTCACCTGATAAGAGTACTGAAAAGTTCTTAAAATTTGAACATTAGTAAAAAAAAGTTATTCATTGATTAAAATTAAGCATTTTAAATTAGATAAAATATCGAGTAATCATGGTTATTTAAATAATTAATTACGCCACTCCTTAACAAAAATTTAAAATAATAATTTGTAGAAAGTGTTCATAATTGGGTCATTTAATGTCGGCGTGGTCGAGTCGGTAAAGCTCATGGTTATTAAATCGAAAAGTCTCGAGTTCGAATTCTCGGGCAGATGAGACTCGTTAGCTGGGGAAGCAAATCCAAAAAGAAAAGCAGGCTGAAATCGGAGTCAATGGCCACAATGGCGAATAACTAGTTGACACGTATCCTTAATTGTGTTGGAGGGGGATCTTTTCTAACACTAAAATTAAGAACGAAGAAGAAGAAAGAAGGATCATTTAACTAAATAAACAAAAAACAAAAAATATTTTTTTAAAATATAAATTGGGGTGATACCAATTTTTAATTGAAGAACATGTATTTTTGAGGGTACAATTTGAAGATTCTATACTGCTTGCCTGTCAATACATTAAAAGGCAGTGAGAGGAATTCATTTAAATTTTGATCTGTTTTTCTTCTCCTTTCGAAACAGTTGTATAATTTTAATTATACAATACTAATTTTAACGTTAATTAGGCCCATTTACATACAGTCACTAATATATTTCAAATTAATGTCATCATTTGATCAAAAAGTAACACAAAGTGCAAAGACACAATCAATTAGCCGAATTTCTATTCACCTGCATAGCCCCACAAGATATAATATGCTATGGTTGAAATTTAAAATTGAAATTTTTAAAATCTAGAACAGACCCAATGGGTATAAGTAAAATGTTCATTTAAAAAAAATATAAAATACATTTTTTAAAAGCCACATCTTTTTTATATTAATTATATAACATTTTTTTTTATTAATTTTATCAATTTTAACAAAACATTTCTTAAACATTGAACCTCTTTACTTATTCGTCAAAGTACGGACACTTTCCTTTGCAGCTCTATAGTCTCGAAATATATCGTCTTGTGAAGTACTTCCTATTCGAAAATAGCTGATCCGATCTATTAGAGATATTCGTAAAACATTGGAAAATTAATGAATGGATTGTTCTGTGTGGGCATATGTATTTTTAAAATCTGATCATCGTATAAGATGCAAACCTCAGTATATCTTAAAGTTTACCATATGCGTTGGCACTCGTTATCCATGGTGATTAGTAGCAGTTATACATATTTTTCAAGCATAAAATTCAGATTTAAGTTTTCCCGTGTTCACCAACAAATACAAATATGAAACATGGTGATGAAAAATTGAAATGCATTCTTTATCAATAATACATTAAAAACTATTAATAACTTACCGTTTTGTATGTCTAGACAGTTAACGATACTTGAAGACTTTTTCAGTAAGGAATTACCAGCTTTTACAACACCATCAATAGCGTCTCCTGAGTCATATATGTAGTCATATATGCAGTCATGTATATATATATATATATATATGTATATATATATATATATATATATATATATATATATATATATATATATATATATATATATATATATGTATATATATATATATATATATATATATATATATATATATATATATATATATATATATATATATATATATATATATATATATGTGTGTGTGTGTGTGTGTGTGTGTATTTGTATATTAGAGAGATCGACTAGCATCAAATCAGGATTAGATTCAGCTAGATAAATAAATCTACGATGACCAACTTACCGAATGCTCTTTCGACCATATCATGATGTGTACTGTCTGGTTCCTTGTGTTTATTAGCTGAAGAGATGACTAATGGTCCAGACTTCAAGCAAAACAAACACAGGGGCGTACTGTTGGTGATTCGAATACAAACACTGTCTTTGTCCCCCAACAGCTTTATTGTTTCTTCAGGGCATATTTTCTTTTCCATAATAAAAGTGAAGGTGTATTTTGATGATTTACATAGTTTTTATCAGAGTACATATAGTTTAGAGTGGGTTATAATTAAATACATGTAATCGAAATCACTATTTAAACGTGCATTAATCAGTGTAATCATTACTGCATGAGTTTTTTTGTTTATTTACCTTGACATATATTGTATTATACTGAACGTTTAAAATTATAGGTAAGTCAAATTTGTGATTGTGGAAAGCTACATTTTCACACATTTTTAATTTATATTTTGAACACATTTTACCTTGAGCCAATCTCCTTTGGGGACCACAAAGCCATATGGACATGGTTTGATAAAAGCCATCAAAACTGGATGGAAGTTCGGCTTGGCATTTTCCAACGTTTCCTTGTCTGGCAACAGGAGAGTAACGGCCGTTTCAAGTGGTCGTTTCTGTGAGATGTGTGTTGTTATTCTTGTAATAGGTTTTTAAAACTTTTACTTTATCATGCACATAAGACTCCATGTTACCACAAAGTATAACAATATAATCAAAGCACTCACATTTGATATATTTAATGTTATTTGAAGTTGATGTTTATTTTAATTTTCATTTTCGATTGTGAAGACTCATTGAGCTTATAAAAATTCCAGCCCCCCCCCCCTCCCCCCCCCCTCCTTCTGAAAGTTTCAAGTGCCTTTCTCTAGATAGAACGTCTGCTAGGATATATCTGTGGCAAGTCTCTTGGAGATAATTTGAAAGAAGGTGTAATTGGTGGTTCACGTGAAGCAACAGACTGACCGTTTTCCAACTGCAAACGTGGTCTTTTGGTTCATATTTATAATTTACCCGCGATGTCTTTGACATTCAGTTAAAAATCCTATTAGATTTTTTTTCCACATAAAACTTCACTAACATGTATTTTAAATTACATAGCAATTTTACATATACTTAAAATGAAAAATATCGAACATTTTCAGATGCTTATTTCTTAAATCTAAAACATGGATTGGTTTAAGAGTCAGGTATATTTTTCTTACTTTAATTTCAAAGATCTTCCTAACACTCTCCGGGTGATTGACTGATGCAGCTAAGGCATACACTGAGTCCGTGGGAATCCCAATCACTTTCCCCTCTTTCAGTTTTTTGGCTGCAGCATTTAAATCTGTAACAAACCCAGCGTTAAAGTTCCGCCTGTCAGCTTCGGCCTGTGTTTGGAAGGGAAAGTTTCGAGAAATTATTTATCAGTAAGTCACATACATACTTCTATAGTTAATAGATCGGTTTGATCTATTGTCGTAGCTGAGTATATTTTTTAAAAATATGTTCAACTTCGATTAATTGTATGCTTGAAACCAGGTTTATAAAGTGGATTTTCAGTGTAAAAGACCTGTAATTCAGGAAATAATATTCCGCAATAGAATTTCCAGAAAACTTCGTTAAAAAGTATTTCCGCAAAACATAATTCTTGAAACATGAATGAGATTTGTGAGAACGGTTTCGCTCAATCAGCACAACAGTTGATTACATTATCCACCAAAACTAAATAGGGCTGGTAAGTAGGTCAGCAGCCAGTTCTATGGCTCATGCAGTTTTTATTGAGCCGTAGAACTGGCTGGTGACCTACTTACCAGCCCTATTATTGCGCTACTTTCCACTCTTACACGTGGTCCAAGCATACTTTTTACACGCATCTTTTTATTTCGATTTCGTATCATATAGACAAGACGTGTTTTCTCTGTCGAGCTAAGTCCAAAATTTATGTTACTGATTAACTTGTTTTTCTAGCCTTTTTCCTCACTGTTGTGTCCTGTGGAAAACATTGAGTCGAAAAGCTCATTATACCTGTTACTGTCTTGAATGTGTGAGGATACTAACACTACCTGTTTTAGCATTTTACTATTTTGATCTATAAAACAATATCAAGGATGGATACCAGTATCATTACACAAATAAAACATCAGGTTAAAAGAATGTATTAGAATATATATCACTAGGTAAATCAACAATATTTATTGCTCACTGTAATATTATACTTCTTTTTTGTCGACAACTGTCGGTTCATCTACTCCTTAAGTAAAATGTTCACACTGTACGTACTAGTATAAACTATGCTGACTGTTTAGCAACATGATATAAATAATAATCTATATATCTATCTATCTATATACTACTAAAAATTAAGTTTGTTTACATGTTTGAATATTTAATTTTTTGCTTGTTTTTTTGTTTGTCTGATTGACTATTGTAAAGGGTTCTACTCTATGTGGAGAGCTGTAAAATAGTATGTAGGTAGAGAATATTTTTGTTTTCAGACAGACTGTTAATCACAAATTTATTTAAAGACGTTAGTTAATTTGTTGATTTATTCATAGGTAGATTAACCACATTAATTTTAAAAGAGTAGAAAAACGACTAGACTTGACGGAACTAGACTTTACGTAAATTCTAGATCTAGACTTAATGCAAATTCTACATCTAGAATCTATTTCAGGCCTTATTTTATATAAATCTTTGTTTAGCTTTAATGAACATCTAATTCGAGAATATATCGGATTTGTCTATCTAGGTTCTAGAGCTAGATATAGTAGGATTACTCGCTTTATTGGAGACGTGGTCGGCTGTTAACAACAATGGCGTCCGGACCGGACGCATGACTTCCGACTATTTTTAGGCTCTGTTTACCACAAGCAAAATGGCGGGTTTTCACGTTATATAAACATGCTATAGGTGGCCAGGGCCAGATATGCCTGAAAAGCATTTTAAAATTTGCTTTGGAGAATGAAGGCTAAATTTTGAAGTAGGTGTCATTAAAATTATATAAAACTTTTTAAAGGTCACCTGTGACGTCAGTATATGAAGGGATAGTGTGTTTTTAAAGGATAAAAAAAGTCTTTTTGAATGTGGGGTCTGGTTATTTTGTGATGATTAGTGACAGACGTGATGTCATTTATGGATGACCCCCAAAACCCACTGTTAGCTAACTAAATAACGGGTAGTCTAGTATACTACTAAAACTCAAGTTTGTTTACATGTTTGAATATTTATTTGTTTTTGTTTGTTTGTCTGATTGGTTATTGTAAATGGTTCTACGCTATTTGGAGAGCTGCAAAATAGTATGTAGGTAGAGAACAATTTTTCTTTTCAGACAGACTGTTAATCACAAATTTATTTAAAGACGTTAATTAATTAATTGATCTATTCATAGGTAGATTAACCACATTAATTTTAAAAGATTAGAAAAACGACTTGAATTGACGGAATAGTGACGTCACATGATGTGTTTATTTTTTACATCAGTAATGGCGGCCTATCGAAGAAGATTGTGTTCCCATTCCAATGTTTAACGCGTTCTTAAGCTAATTTTCTGTCGGCTATAACTTTAACAATATGTCCTTTTGCTGTATTTATTACGTTCCAACACTTATATCAATTTTCAATTGTCTTTTTCATTTAGTTTTACGATAAATTTCTCTAGATCTACAGATCAGCTGTCGAATGAAGAACAAGCGTCAAACTGAACTTATGAATCTAGATCTAGATCTAGATATAGGTCACTAGACTTTACGTAAATTCTAGATCTAGACTTTAAATTCTACATCTAGAATCTATTTCAGGCCTTAATTATTTTATATAAATCTTTGTTTAGCTTCAATGATCATCTAATTAGAGAATACATGGGATGTATCAATCTAGGTTCTAGATCTAGATATAGTAGGATTACTCGCTAACTTAGAGGCGTGGTCGGCTGCTAACAACAATATAGCGTCCGGGCAGAAGGCATGACTTCCGACCATTTTTAGGCCACAATTACCACGAGCAAAATGGGGGATTTTCACGTTATTTAAATATGCTATAGGTGGCCAGGGCTAGATATGCCAGAAAAGCATTTGAAATTTGCTTTGAAGAATGAAGGCTAAATTTTAAATCGGTGTCACTAAAATTAATAGAACTTTTAAAAGGTCACTTGTGACGTGATGTTATTTATGGATGACCCCCGAAACCCACAGTTATCTAACTAGATAATGGGTAGTCTAGTATACTACTAAAACTCAAGTTTGTTTACATGTTCGAATATTTATTTATTTATTTATTTTGCTTGTCTGATTGACTAATGGAGAAAATCTGCTCTATGTGTAGTTCTGTAAAATAGTATGTAGGTAGAGAACAAGTTTTGTTTTCAGACAGACTGTTAATCACAAATTTATTTAAAGACGTTAATTAAGTTATTGATTTATTCATAGGTAGATTAACCACATTAATTTTAAAAGTTTAGAAAAACGACTTTACTTTGAGTGAATAGTGATGTCACAAGATTTGTTTACTTTTTAGTACAATTAAATGGCGGCTCCAACCAATACAAGATTTCGTATCTTATTCATATCTTTAACGCGTTCTAAAGCTAATTTTCTGATGGCTATAACTTTAAAAAGTTTGCTGTTTTTATTAAGTTCCAACACTTATATCAATTTTCAACTGTCTTTTTCATTTAGTTTTACAATAAATTTCTCTAGCTCTACAATCTGTCTAAGAAAGTTATTTATAGATCTAAATCTAGAATCTAGGTCAAACGAAAGATTAATTAGTTAAAAATACAATCCATTTTAAAATAATAATACATTTTTGAGTTTCTCTATTAAACTACTTTAGTCCTTAAATACTTGATATAAATCTTTGTGATTTATCTATCTAGATCTAGAGTAGGTCGAATCTAGATCTAGCAAGAGCTACGCAAAAACTAGACTTAATCAAACCAGTCGTAGAATATAGATAATTCTATCTAGATTTAGATCATAATGAGTTTCTATATACTAAACTATTTCAGACCTTTATTATGTTATATAATCTTTGTTTGTTTAGCTATGGAATTGGCTAATTTAAGGTAAAATTTAATTTGAAAGTTACTAGATCTAGATTTAGAGGTAAGGCCTATGCGCGTAAATCAAGTTGCATAAGAGGACTCAACATATTATTATATAGGACGACAAAACATCAATGATGTCACGAGTCTAGATAGCTAACTTGTTAGTGTAATAGACTTTCATGCGGGTGGCACGGGTTCTAGACACATCACGTCAATGTTAAAAAAATGAATGATACAGTTGCCTATCTGAACTTGGCGGGATACAGGGCAGGTGAAGTAGAGTTCATCTGTTTCTTTGTCCTAAGCATATGAAGGGATAGCTTGGTCAGAGACATGCTAGGCCGGAATCGTTTTTTCAAACGATAAAAACATGTTGTCTGAGACTTGGCGGGACTTTGGGCAGGGGAAGTAGAGTTTAGTAGGTCACCTGTAACGTCAGTATATGAAAGGGTAGTATGGTCAGACCCATGCTCAGCCGAAATCGGTGTTTTTAAAAGATAAAAAAACGTCTTTTTGAATGTGGAGGTCTGGTTATTTTGTGATAAGTGACAGACGTGATGTCATTTATGGATGACCACCGAAACCCACAGTTATCCAAGGGATGACCGGGTAAGTCTAGTATATATATAATTCTCTAAGTGAGGACCATGTGAGACACCACCACGTAAAAAGCCGTTCCTACTCTGCTACCACCTCCACCCCATAAATCTGGTGAGCTGTGGTTTAAATTAAATGTTTACAATCGTAGAGCCGGGTCGAATTAGTGACGGCTATTAGGGGCAGATAATTTAGTTTTTAAACATTATGAAACTAAGTGGAGGTAATAACAAGTTCTGCTTGGCCTTTTCATTGTCGTCTGTAAACTGTCGTCACGGACGGCTGCTTTCGCAGAGGGGATTGGGGTGGAAAGTGAGCGAGGATAATCGTCCTTCGCGAGCTAATGATAGTGTTTTAAAGCAATTCTTTATCAGTCGCAGCATTGGTAGTGTCGAATTCACAAAATATGAATTACTGAAAGTAAAAAAATAGAACAACTAAATAGCGGCGTATTCAGTTAGCGTAGTTAATCATTTCACAGCTCTTAACTTTGCGATACGTTTGATAAGCCATAGTCAATTTGTCAAAAAATATCAACGTAAAATTTCTAGTATATTCAGCATAAAATTTCTAATATTGCAATTTTGTTCACATTATGAAGCGTAAAGTTTATAACAAAGCAAAACATTTGATAAATGATTGTCATTTATTTTTCAAAACACGCAGCGTATGTGCAAAAGCAAGCGTAGTTTTGTTTTTTAAATTACACAAATAGTAGAAAATATCGTCGTTTTTCGTAAATAATAACGAAAACGCATTTTAAATACGGCTTAAAAACAAACATTTTTATTGTTATTTATTATGATACATACCATATTAAAATCAACCAAATTAGAATATCTAAGATACATCAATGCATACCATTCGATATCCAAGGCACACATAGAAAAGTCTCTTATCGTACGCTTAACGTGTACATGTTTATTGCAATCTTCTTGGAAGTCGTCCAATTCAAATACTTCGATCTAGATAGTTTACTGTGTAGTTGGTCGCAATGTGAAGGTAACCTCCATTATTGATCTTTTCAACTCTTGCCATTTGGAACTACATTTATCTTATCTCTTGACTAGATCTTGGTAGAAGTCCATACTATTACATAGCTATGTTTCTTTCGAATATGTACACACACAACCACAAACACACACGCACACACTCGCACCAAATCACGCACTTACGCACTCACACTTACATAGATACATAGATACATAGAAACACAGACACACAAACAAAGATATACAAAATAGACACAACGAGACACACACATACAAACACACATTATATATATACATTATATATATATATATATATATATATATATATATATATATATATATATATATATGTATATATATACATATATACATATATATGTACATTCCTTCTGTTGTTAAAAGTACAACTATACTTATAGATATTTGCAAAGGTAAAGGACGTTTAATACAACCAAATTTGTAGGGTCGATAAGTATACAAAAATAAATTTGGCTATTAACGTAACTGGCTGCATTACTTGTGTATATTATTATCGTATCGTTTGTGCAGGGCCTTCTCAGTCCTTTCATTACTTGGTTGTTTTGTGACACTGTCACACGCGTGTTGATAAAGTTCTTATTGAGAGGTGGCTATTGGCGCTTATCTACTGATCGTTTCTTTGAAATGTTTACCTTTTACTTTCTAAATCAACAAGTGCTTGCTTTACATGTAATGTTGAGACACTATGTCTTATCAAGTCATGTGAATTCAAGACTGTAGAAACTAAATCGAACGTTACTGTGTTGTTAGTTAGCAAGAGAAATAAACGGCCTCAATTGTAGAATTGTAACCCTAACCCTAACCCTAACCCTAACCCTAACACTAACCCTAACCCTAAATCTGACACAATTGTGGCTCAATACCCAAGCAAACCGGCTCTGCTGCTGTACTGTGTGTGTGTGGGGGGGGAATGAACACTCAATGACTTGTTGTAAGACTGTCTTGTGTTTGTGGCATGGAGGCATGCGGCTGTTGTCTAGTATGGTGAGAGATGGTAGTCGCAAAGCAATACAGCCTAGCATGCAAAATAACGATAGTATGTCGAGTAAAAGTCACAAAAAATACATATAGAAATATAAATCTATGCGACGAACAAATAGACTGCTTGCACAGTTTTGATTATGAGATTCTGTGCTACGACAAATGTCCCTCGGGATGTACGTGTGTTGGGGGTGGGTGACAAAATTGATCGATGTTTGTCTAGTCAATCACACGACGTTGTTTTGAATCACTGGACAGGAACACAAAAGCTTTTCAAGCTTCAGGACTTGATCTATACCAAACTATTATCCCACAGTACGTTATGATGTTGAAGCTGTTAGAAGTACATGTGTCTAATTGCAGCATTACCAATAAGAAGCTTAATGATATATTGTTTTCAATGAGAGAAACTTTGTTTCAACTCTCACCTATTGACCTGAGCCATGAAAACATATACTTTGATAACTGATTCGATTTGTCCTTATTTTGTAAAAACCTGCGTGTATTTTATTTTTCATTCTCAGCAATCAACACTATCCGAATGCGAATGTTTACCTTCCCATATTTAGAAACAATAGATATGCATTTTATAACTCTTACTTCAATTACATTTTCGATTAAAAATAACATTTCAATAAATAATCTCATTTGAAGATTTACTGAAATAAGCAGTATTAGTCTATTTGAAAATACTTGTATCTTTAACGTATTAGATTTAAGAGACACAAACGTAGTTATCGACTTAATTTTTTAAGAACATCTCAGTGGTTCAAAAAGATTAAAGTACGCCAAGCTCTTTTTAGTGACAGCTTCAAATTTTGCTGTGAAAAAGTTAGAGGGTCGGGAATTCCCTTACATACGTGTAAAGCACCGAGTGACACTATTTCTTCTTGTGAAAATCTGCATGGTGATAGTGTAAAACGTACATTGATATGGTCGGAGAATGTTTTAAAATAAGGCTACTGGTGGTACGTAACATCTGGGGCTGTCCGATCTGGTAATGAGCGTGTACTTATTGTTGATAGCAGGAGCAGATGTTTACTACCGTGACGAGTACGTGTTGTATGACACAGAATGACATACATAGGACAGGTATGTAATCTTTAAAAACACACTCTACCAGTCAACATATAAGCTGCGTAATTAAAAGATTACCACCGTTGTTAAATGGTCTATTGGTTTTGCTATTTCCAGACTGGCATATTTACTCATCAAACTCATCTATATTGTTTTCAACTTCGGTCTAGTAGTGACAATTTTTAAGAAAATTTCAGTGTCATCAAACTCAATAATTGACACACCTGCAGAAAAAAACCCGTAGGATCACAGTTGCCAAAAACCGCTCGTTAGTCATCACATCCAACATCATGTGTTGCCTGCCCATCTGCATTGTGGGCCTGATATCCGCAGGTGGACACAGCTTTAGTCCGGAAGTAACCCTAACCCTAACTTTAATCCTAGTACTAACCCTAGACCAAAACCTAACTCTAACCCTAACTCTAACCCTAGTGCTAAACCTAGACCTAATCGTAACCCTAACCCTAGCCCTCGCCCTCACCCTCACCCTAACCCTAACCCTAACCCTAACCCTAACCTTAACCTTAACCTTAACCTTAACCCTAACCCTAACCCTAACCCTAACCCTAACCCTAACCCGAAACCTAACCCTAACCCTAGCCAAAAACCTAGCATTAGCCCTAACGCTAGTACTAAATCTAGAACTAATTCTAACCCTAGCCCTAACCCTAACCCTTGTCCTAACCCAAACCATAACTAGTGCTAACCCTAACCCTAGCCCTAACGCTAGCCTTAACATTAGACCTAGCCCTAACCCTAACACTAGCCCTAGCCATATCTTTAACCTTAAACCTTACCCTAACTCTAGCCCTAGCCCTAATCCTAGCAATAACCGTAACTCTATCCCTAACCCTAATCCGAGCACTAACTCTAGCCCTAGCATTATCCCTCACTCAAGCCCTAGTGCTTACCCTAACCCTAATCCTAACCATAACCCTAACCATAGCCTTAAACCTAGCATTAGCCCTAGCGCTAGTGCCAAATCTAGACCTTATTCTAACCCTAGCCCTAGCCCTAACCCTAACCCTAACCCTAACCTTAACCTTAAAGCTACCCCTAACCCTAGCCCTAGCCCCAAACATAACCCTAACACTAACCCTAAACCTAACCCTAACCTTAACCTTAACCTTAACCCTAACCCTAACCCAAACCCTAACCCTTACCCTTACCCTTACCCTAACCCTAACCATAACCCTAACCCTAGCCCTAAACCTAGCATTAGCTCTAACGCTAGTGCTAAATCTAGACCTAATTCTAACCCTAGCCCTTGCCCTAACCCTTGTCCTAACCCAAATCCTAACTAGTTCTAACCCTAACCGAGCCTAACGCTAGCCCTAACATTAGACCTAGCCCTAGCCCTAGTGCTAAACCCTAACCCTAACCCTAACCCTAACACAAACATTAACTCTAAACCTAACCCTAAGCCTAACCGTGACCCTAGCCCTAACCCTAACCCTAACCCTAACCCTAGCCCTAGTCCTAGCCCTAGCCCTAGCCCTAGCTCTAGCTCTAGCCCTAACCCTAACCCTAACCCTAACCCTAACCCTAACCCTAGCCCTAGCCCCAAACCTAACCATAAACCTAAACCTAACCCTAACCCTAACCCTAGCCCTAACACTAGCCCTAGCCCTAACCTTAGCCCCAACCATCAACGTAACCCTAAGCCTAACACTAACCCTAACCTTAACCCTAACCCTTACCCTTACCCTTACCCTTACCCTTACCCTTACCCTTACCCTTACCCTTACCCTTACCCTAACCTTAACCCAAACCCTAACCCTAACCCTAACCCTAAACCTAACCCTAATCCTAACCCTAAACCTAAACCTAAACCTAAACCTAACCCTAACCCTAACCCTAGCCCAAAACCTAGCATTAGCCCTAACGCTAGTACTAAATCTAGAACTTATTCTAACCCTAGCCCTAGCCCTAACCCTAACCCTAACCCTAAACGTAGACCTAGACCTAACCCTAACCCTAACCCTAACCCTAACCCTAGTGCCAGCGCAAAACCCTAACCCTAACCCTAATCCTAGCCCTAGCCCTCTTGCTAACCCTAGACCTAGCCCTAACCCTTAACCTAACCATAGCTCTAGCCCTAGCCCTACCCCAAGCCTTAGCCCTACCACTAGCCCTAGCCCTAGCACTAGCACTAGCCCTAGTGCAAAACCCTAACCTTAAACCCAGCCCTAACCCTATCCCTAACCTAAACCCTAAACCTAACACTAAGCCTAACCCTGACCCTGACCCTAACCCTAACCCTAACCCTAACCCTAACCCTAACCCTAAGTCTAACTCTAACTGAACCTGAAACTATGACCGGGGGTATTGTCCTACTGGGCGGAGGTTATTTGACAGGGTGGTAATTGACAGGGTGTAATTACTCAGGCGTGGGAGGGATGTCCGCATGGTAATTGACAGGGGGTTATGCCCTGTTCCCTGTTTAATATATCTACGATGTCCTACAACCCTCTCACACTCTGCCTATCACAACACATTATAGTGAAACATATTTTTCTTTCTTAAATGCCTTTTCGATTTCAAGTTAATTTAGAGTAGATAAGACATTCGATGAAACTGTTAACACTGGGTTGTTTTTTTTAAACCAGTGGTTTTCTGTCTTTCTTATAAAATGGTTGTGTTTTATTTATTTCGTTAATTTCTAAGTGTAAATACAAATACGATTATTCAAGTTAAAATACAGTTAAATAAACAAACTTTTATAAAATAATTTCACATGTTTAACTTAATAGAGGTCACCGCCTCACTAACGGTGAAAGCACACGCGCGACTAGCCCACCGGCGCACTAACACAGAGGAATGACATCACCGTTCACTGATGAGCTA